AAAATGAAAAAGTATCTATTATTTCGGTCGATTTGCCTGAGAGAGTCACTCGTGAAATATTAACAGGGCTTGTTTTGGAATGAAACAGACCGGAAGCAAATGTACGCTTCCGTGAAAATTAAAGAGGATGTCGCGAGAGATTTTCTATTCAACTGGTAATTAGAGCAACGACTGGATGAATGTTCGTCCAGGTACAAAGTCGATGGAACCTAGCAGGGTCATTCGAAGTAACATCTTTATTCTTGCCTCGGCAAACAACCCCGACTGCGAGACACACCGAGGGGATCAAGAGGTCACGATGGAAGGTTGGAAAGCGAGAGACGAGCCACTTCAAACGAACCTGGATCAATCCATCATCTTTGATCTATACTTTGCTCTTCGATCAGCTGTTTTTTTTTTTATTTTTACCTTTCCATGATATCGATAACACAAAGTGGAAATTGCTGCTCATTCAGTTTTGATTTATATGTTATGATTATATGTTAGATTCTTTTTCTTTGTAAAAATAATAATAATAAATAATTAATAATACGTATTTGTAATTCCTTTCTTTTATGGAAAGATAAAAATAAATCGTTAGAATTTGTAATTATGCTTATTTGTAATTATCAAGTAACCAAGAAGTTGTGTGATCTCTTTGATATACGTAGATAAAAAACTTGATCTATAGACAACTATGAATTATATGTTTCTATATCTAAAATTATATATTTTTTGGTAATACTTATTATCCAAATGTATATGTTATACATCGATGATTAAAATCAAATAAACATTGTGAAAATAATTTATATAATTACATTTTTATATGAACAGAAATTAATATTAATCTTCTAAGATCTTCTTTTCCAACCATAAAAAGAATGACAAAACTATTTTGGTTACCTAATAATAATGACCGTCTTTTGAAAAGCGACACTCGATTCTTTTACCTAGTTTTTATAAGGTCACTCTCGCATTGTTCTCTTAATTTTCAGTCAAGTATCTCTACTTGTTTGCTCCCGAGATTTATAATAGTAATTTACACTGAGTTAGTTCATTATATCGCATTATGTTACCAAGATTATATTACGTTACGTGGAAATTGTTGGCTAGCTTCTCAAACAAGTCCTTATTAAAAATATATAAATTCGCTGTTTATTGTATTTACAACCGAGGAAGCCAAGTCCTCTGTAAAGTTTCTCCAATATTTGCAGATACAATATTTTTCGTCCAAGGCAAACATTAACTTCCTAAAATAGGGAAATCTCCCTATTTGAGCCTACCAGGCATGAAACGGACAGGTTTCATACCTTATCTGCCGCACACCAGCTGTACACGCGAGACAAGGTGACAGAAAATGAAATGAAAGCGCGCTCAGCAGAATTTTGAAATGTCTACCTAGTTCGAGTGAAATATTACAATTTACGTTTCTATTTTTTCCACTGATGGACGACTAAATTTTGAAAAAGCTATATATTTTTAGAAGAATATCACGAAAGATAATAAATCATTTCAAAGAGAAAGGGATAATCCTAATTTCTAAAGATCATTCTAACATTCGAACACCTTACAAACATCTTATTAATACTATATCCTCAAAGATATAATAGAAGATAAAAACGATAATAAAGAAAATACAGCAAATATTCTAAAAAAAAAAAAAAA